TTGGCTATCCGGCAACACGGAGTATTGCATTTCTCCACCTCTTCCACACTATGCAACTTGACAGATTTTGCACAGATGGGCTAAAAATGCATTTGTATGGTAGCAGAATAAACAAGGAGCCATGGCCCACCATGTGGGAGTGGCCACTCTTCTGCTCCTACAGCATGTGGACCTTTAATAGACGGCAAAGAGCAGGGATACAAGTATTTTCAAATCACAGCGTTATTTCTTAATAACTGCATCTAATTGCTACACTGTCCCTGGGTTCTCTAGGACAGAAAGAGTAGGATTCTCTGCCTGACCTTTCCCTTTGAATTTTTGTAAATAATTAGTCCACACCAGATGTAAGCATAATGCAAAACAGCTGTAGAACTTCCCTTGTTTCTTTCTTCAAGGAGCAAAATCCGTTCCTTACTTGCTTGTCAAAACTAGTGGCAACATCTCTCCAAACCTGGTATGTGAACACACATTTTATGTTAGCAACCTTGCAGTTTAGCATTATCCAGCTCATTGGTTAAGATTATTAAAGGCTATACCTTCAGTTACTATGAGTTAAATCACGTTCCGTTAATACAATAAAAACAGATCTGTTCTTAAGCTCTTTTGTGTTTCAGAGAATGAAGAACTGCTGTTTTTTAAGACATAGGAAAGTTACTCTGCCCCCACCCGAGCTGAAGCATAACAAATTAATCACATTAAGGTTTTCAAAACATTTCCAGAAAACATTGTTTATCTTCTTTATCTTCTGACAGAGACAGAACTCTGGAAAAAAATCTAAAATGAAGACCCTGAATAGGGTCCAACAAAGGACTCAAAGCTCAGGCACGTTCAATATCTTAGGAACAAATAATTTTTGTTTAGACGATGGTTCAATATTTTTTCAAAACCTTACCTACCTATAATTGATCTTTGTAACAGACCGCAAGTCCCCTGCCTTCAGTTTAGGTTTCATTTCTAGCATTTTAGTTTAAGTGTTCACATGCCCTTATGAATGTTTATTATGATTTAAGCAGTACGTGCAAATTCTGAGAGAAATTCAAACACTGTATTTTTCCTTTGACTATCTGATATGAAAACCTATCCATATCTACTTAGCAAATGAATATAACATCATGAGAGATTCCAGGACACAGTTTATGTTGCACGTTGAGCCCAGCTGCTTATTAATGTTCAAATTAGAAAAAGCAAATGCAAGACTTGTATTCTTCAGAGTAGCACTGAACAAGTAAGGTTTAGTGACAGTTCACAAGACAGCAAACTGCTTTTCATTCAAGAAGGACAGTATTCACCTAAACTACACAAATCTCAGTTGCTTTTTTACATTCATTGCTTCCTTTTCAAGAATTAGACATATCTTTTTTTTCTATTCAAAACTAATAGGTATCTTGAATAAAGTGTCAAAATGTAACACGATGCCCCTGACCCCTTTTTCCTAGGTAAAATCCAACTATAAACCTTGCAGCAGTTCAGGAGAGAACACACACTTTGCAGCTTTAGAAAATACAGCAGTAAATCCTCATTTTCTGGGTATTTCACACTAACCATGGAGGATGGGAGCAGAGGCAGTATCATTTTAGTTATGCGTTTCCCTGCAAGAAAGTAGGAATTGCTTCAACCCGAATATCCCACTGCAGCTACATGAATTATCTATAAAGCTGCTACAGTGGCATTATAGCATTTAAAATTGACATTTAAAATACTACCAGCAACAGGTGGTAAAACTAGTGGGAAACAAAAATATGTATCACAAGTATGTATCATAATATGTACCACTTACATTATTCTATGGCTTCAAGTTACACCGGGGGAGGTTTAGATTGGATATTAGGAAAAAAATCCTCAGAGAATGGGTTGTCAAGAACTGAAACAGGCTGCCCAGGAAAGCAGTGGAATCGCCATCCCTGGAGGTATTTAAAGACAGATAGATGCAGTGCTTCAAGATATCGTTTAGTGGTGGAGTTGGCAGTGTTAGGTTGATGGTTGGACTCAATGATCTTAAAGGTCCCTTCCAACCTAGACAATATGCTATATTTTCTAAGTGACATAATATTTGTGTCCCTTATTATTATGTCACATATAATTATATTATTTGAGGAACTTCTCTCAGTCCCCCAGATAAGAGAGAAGTTTTGAAATGCAGAATGTGTTGAAAGTGATGGAGAGCTACCGCAAATTAGTTTTACTTATTAACATTTCCCAAAAGTGAGGATGTGTGACAAAGCTTAGAAATAGATATTTGTAGTACATTTTTCCCTGCTGCAATAGCTTTCCATAAAGGCCACATCTAACAATGCAGATGTCTATTCCACGTGCTCTGGTTTTATTAAGTAACTGAAAATGATACCTTGAGGTGGATCAGTTACCATGCATACAAAAATACCCCTGTACGCATGCTGAAGACAGGCCACAAACTAGAGCAAGACATTAACAGCACTTTTAATGTATCAATTTATTGCATATGTCAGTACATAAAAATAGAAAAGTGTTTTTTGTAAAATTAATTTTATTGTAAAAACCAGACTAGAATGAGAATGTAAAACTTTGCCACAATTACCACATATACAGTAACATTTACGCTTTGTCTACAAAACTTAAGAATATTTTGTAAGACATTTTTGCTTTAACTATATATTAAAGAAAAATAAAATAAAAAGCTTGCATCATATATTCAATCACTGTTTCTGAATTTGAAACACAAGTGTTATTTAGAACTTCAATATGCTATCTATATTTACAGTTCTGTGGGGTTCTACTCTAAATTATACAAGCAGGATGGCATCATAAATTATTCTTAATGGGATACTTCAGGCTGATCCCACTACATGCAAGAGGCACCGATTTTATATTTGGCAGAAGTGCCCCTAGCAAAATCACCTGTCTTTAACAAAAATAAAAACGTACTTCTCAATAATTGAATGATGAATACAAATGGAGGTATGTCTGCATCTTTTTGCTAATAGAAGAGACCATACCTTGGACTCTCAATTCAGCCTTGCATTCTTCACTGTGCACATCCAAAATTATGTGAATGATTAGCTTAGAGATGCTTATATGCATATTTTGTATAACCAGTTAATCCATCTGCCCTTCAACTGAGAGATTGTCCGTAGCCTACCAAATGTATTTGTGCTCTATTTCTAATTTTACCTGAGAAATGGACATGAGGGCAGCTACACCAGTTAACATTTCTTCAGATGAAAGCACAGCTTATCGCTCTCTGCAGTTCACAGTTCAGAAACAAATATTGGGAATGTAAACTTGGGTTAGCAGGAAGCCTCAAATATTTCCACTAATTAAAACCATGCACACACATGTGCGCACACAAGGTCTTTTACTAAATGCTTCCTTACAAGGACTCTACTGCTACAGCTGCTCCAGTTCAACTCCTGACCCCTCCACTCTTATATTTTCTTTTCTTCTTTTTTTTTTTAAAAAAAAAAAAACAAAACTTAAAAGTTCCTCTTATAAAAGAGACAATTCCTTTAATGTGCATATTTAAACCAAGAGGCTTTCTTACAAACCTGTGAAAATAACTCAATTTCCTCTTCCCAAACTAGAAATTTATACGTACAGGACAAATACCTGGGAAACATCTATAGACAAACGGAGAACTGTTAAAGGGAAAATACAGAATAGTATTAAGTGGAATAAATGCAACAGCATCACAGTACACCCTTTGGCAACTGAAAATTGTTACTACTATGTTGCTTGCAGTTCACTGTCTGAAAATGGCTTTTAGCAGCAGATAACTGTGGGTTTCCATCACACAGACCGTAAAATAAAAACAAGTCTTGACTTGTCAAAACAAGTTTCTTCCCCTTTTCCCTCCCTTAAAAGATAGCACAGTGGAACTTTTGCATTAAAAAAAAATAAAAAAAATAATTTCCTTCCTACTTTCTTTCAGTGGATTTCATAATCAATGCAATGAAAAATAGCATGGCAACAGACATTCATTCACAAGTGTATGCGCCCAGCCCATTAACAGAGAAGCAAAAACGTGCATATGTGCTAGAAAGCACATGGAGCATAAAGACTGCATGGATGACAACTGTGTCTTCTCATATCCATTACTTGCAAAATCAGGCTAAGTTTCACCTTTACGCCCTGCCTACAATATAGCAAAGTGATACAGCTCCATAATCAAAAGTCATGTTTAGATATCGTCCACTCTGAACAGCTCCACATTCCCGTAATTTGACTTTGACTTAGCAACTGTGTGTAAGTGCCATATAATACTGGGGGCATTTTGGGTTGAAGTTTTTGTTTGTCTTTGAGTGGGAGGAAGCGGGGTAAAAAGTCACATTACTTTAGAAATCGACATTTTATGATAAAACCATGGTATTTAAAGGCAAGCTACAACAACTTCCAAAACATTTACTTTCTCTTCATTGCCTTCAAGAAGTAAACTATTTTTTTGCATTCCTCAACTTTTTAGAAAAGCAGTATTTGTCCACTTTTTCTCCTTCTCTCCCTCTACCTTAATTCTAAAGCAATGTGAAGTAGCTGAACCCATCTATGCACGCAGCTCACGTTCTCATTTTAGGGGAAAAAGGACTATTAACACCCTTCTGCCATATAAACATCCCCCCCCCAGCCAAACTCCACCACTCTACCTTCTCCACCCGCCTCCCTGCCAAAGGACACCACCACTGGAAGGCCGAGGACATAAGCTTCTGTTTCACTCAGAATTAAAACTATGCTCCATCTATGATTTGGGGTCTATAGAACCAAAAAAGTCTACAGCTTATTTCAATCAGCTCTAAGAAAACCTTCAGAATAGTGTGTCAAAGGATACTTACCAGAGAAAGCAGCAACTTCTGCTTGGTCTGTCTTTAATAAACAAAAAAAAAACCAAACAAAACAGAACAAAACCCCAAACCCCCACATTTAAGTGAAGATATAACACCCTATCTATAAACTGCTGACAACTATTACCCATGTGTACATAAGACCTGTAACTCCATTTAAGAAATTTTAGGAGGCATGACCATCAAGGCACCAGTTCAGGAAAGCAGTTTTATTCAACCAGAGAACTTAAGCACAAGCTTAAAATATCACTTTCCATCAGGAGACAGATTTTAACTGCGTGTTGAGATGCTTTTCTGAATTGGGACAGCATGGCAGAAAACTTTATTTAAAAATTTCAATCTGAAGGGCAACAGATTGTGTAGTAGTTTTTGCACAGTTGATTCTTCCCATAAAAAAATATTCTGAAGAAGGCAAACTATCAACTGCAGCAAATGAGAAATTAAACCTGCAGATGATATTTAAACAGCCCTACACTGAGCTGACAGCATACAACTTTGATATGGCTACCTAGGACAAAGACCCTTAAAAATAAAAATAAAATAAATAAATTAAAAAAGTCAACCCAACATTCAGTTAGAATCAAACTCTCTCAATTTAAATATTGGTGGCTCTGAAATGGTGACACAGTAACTTCAAAAATCCCAGCGGAGCTAAAGAAAACTCACTGATGCTTAGGCTACTTCCACATGGTACAACAGAACTTCAAGACTTTCTGCAAGCAAATGGGCAAAATTATTAAAATAACCATCATCTCTTTTAGACTAACTAATCTTAGGTTTAGTAAATTTAATGCATTGCTCATTTTTATTATCCTTACTGTAACAACTGTATACATTAAACTCTAATCATGTGATCATTGGTAATTATTTGGATTTGTTTCTTTTGGAGGTAAAAATGAAGGGCACAGACATGTAACTACACCACCCTAAAAATCAAACACAAACACATACTTTGACCTTGTGTGACACTTCTTTCCATCACATCATCCACTCTGCCTTGGGAAATCCCACCTCAAATGCACAAGCAGATACCAGCAAATAGTTTGCCTGTACATTAGTGAGGAGAGCTTGGGCTGGAAAGGAGATTTTTGAAGGTTACTTCTACTTTCAATGAAGAAATTGCCAGGCCAAAATCCTGAAACCATGATGTTTAGGCACACGCAACTTTCTGGGCAGTATTAGAATAGTAAAATGAAAACAGGGAAAGTGTCTTCTCCTCGAGTTGCAGTTTGAAATATATCTGTATGCATAACCATAAAAAACAGTAATAACTCAGGATAGTATACCTGCAAGTATACTCTACTATTAGTGTTATTTTATATTATTTAGCACATTAAAGATTTCCCACCTTGCATAATATAAAATTTCAAGGAATAAAACACTAATCTCATGCATGGCACATTTTAAATAAATCTTAAGAGAAACAACAAATCATTGTGCTAACCATGACTGTCCAAAAAGCTCACACATACAGCAGTGAATACTGAAGTGCCTCCCGTTGTTCTAAACTAATACATTCTGTACTACTTTTGTAGCAAGTTCCTTTAATAGCATCCGTTGTACATATCAAACAAATGCAATATATGGACAGAGATACCAAAAAAGTACGAGAAAGACATAAAATGGTTCATTTACAATGTTGCAAATGTAAAAGTTTTCTGGAACATCTTAATAAAGCATCAGACCTTTCCAAGTTTAATTTCACTCTTTAGGCAAGTACAGACGTGACATACATTTAAAAATGGACATTCTTTTACCACTTTTTACAAATCAAGGTACAGTGCAGGTACTCCCCCCACCCCATCCCAAAGAAGAATATCAATTATATTATTGTTACGTTAGATGATGTTTTCGCCATTTCTTCAGGGGAGTGACTCTTTATTACTTCTTTGATGAACTGTTCGAGTGCAGTGAAATACCCCTGGCACTGCCAAGTGTCATTATGAGTCCCATCAGGAAATATCGCCAATCTCTTAGTCCGAGCTGGGGATAATTCATAAAGTTGCTTCATCATAACTGGTGGAATTAACTGGTCAGACAACCCAGAGATGAAGAGAGAAGGCATTCTGCACTGAGAGATTTTTCTGTAGGACAGAAACTTATTTTTGTAGCACCATAAAGGAAGGTATCTCATCGGAAAGAAAGAAAACAAAGTGCTGGCCATGTATGGGATGCTAAGAAAGGTGTTCTCCACCACGATGGCAGAAATCCTATGGGAATTTTCAGAAGCTAAGTGAATAGCTACTGCTCCCCCCAAGGAACGGCCAAAAAGAAAAATTTTTGTTTTATCAAGATCAGACCGAGTCATCACATAGTCTAACACAGCCTCAGAATCTAAGTACAAACCTTCTTCGCTTGCTTCTCCTTCACTTTTTCCATACCCTCTATAATCGACAAGAATCAAGTTTACTTTCAGGTTTACCAGCATTAACAAAGCATTTGGCAACCTGTGGCCAATGTTGCCTGCGTTCCCGTGGAAGTAAATGATGGTTGGAGAATACGCTGCATTGTCCCCTGTGTATCTCAGCAGGATAAGATTGAGAAGAACTCCATCTTTGGTTTTGATGAAGATGTTTTCGTGTGGTATACCAGTAGGCATAGGAACATAAAGGCGTGAGGAAGGGGGCTGTTCAGGAAAATAAAGCAGCACATCCTGGAACTTATATAATATGCCTGCTATCGATACAAATATTAATATAAGTAGTATAATGCCGCCGTACAAGTGAAAAGTTACTATCAAGGGTAAAAGACAAATACGGCAGAGACTCCAAGACCAGGAAGCCAAAGCTAGCAGCCATCTTTTCACAAAGGTCCAAAGCATCCATGACTTTTCCATTGTAGAAGTCAGTGGTCTTTTACTCCAAGCAAATCCTGTAAAAAAAACCCAAACATATCTGTATAAATATAGGGGGGAAGGGAGGAAAGGAAGTGATTTAGGCATTCATACTTGCAGAAGATTAATGGCAGGTCAATAGATTAAAGCATACACATCAAACGTGGTGGCAAACTCCCTTTGAATTTTTTTGAAACTACTCAACTCTAAAACAAGTACAAAAGCAATCACGAGGGAAAGGCTTTAGCACTCTTCAAAATCCCATATACATTATTTCAGGAGGGAAGGTCTATCAGTAGCACTACAAAATTGGTTGCCTGGGGCCATAACAACTTACGTTTTCACTCAGTCTTCCCTACCGACAAACAGAACAACCAGACAGACCCTGTCACCAGTTTGTCCGAGATTCTCACGTAAGTAATTCTAGAATCCAGAGATCACAAACCAAAATAGCCCTTATTTCTAAGTTGCTACTGATTTAGGCCAAAAGAAGCATTCAGTAAGCCTACGCACTTCACTCCACATCCAGTGGAAGCTCACAATGCACACAGGGTCTGTGACTGTTTAGTAGCTGTAATTGGGAATCTTTATCAGCTGTGATTACAGAGCTTCTTCTGGTCAGAAGAAAAAGACTCCTCTATAGTAAGATACTACATTTTAGTTGCATTTATGACAGCTGTTTTGCTATATTTGAATTGGTTCTGATTTATAATAATTGTTTTCCACTGTCAGATCAGTAATCCATATTAAATCTTTAGCTGAATGAAAGACTGTACCATCATACAAGACCACTGAAAAGTCAGCTAACTACCTTATCCAAGAAAAGCACAACTGCTGAGAAGTTCAAATTGAAGACAGGCTCATGACAAAAACATACACACAGCATAAGATGATGAGAGTGATGTTAATGACAGTGAATTAAATCTTCTTTCCAGCCACAAGAGATAGTAATGTCTCACAGCATACACACTACTTTATTCACCGCTGGCTTCAAACGTACTATGGAACTAGGCAAAAACTGCTAAACCTAGGTGAGAACTACAATAACCATTCAATTGCCACTGCCTGGAACTGACAACACAAGCTCACTTGTTTAAGAACACTAAGTTATATAGCAGATAATGATTACAGTTTAGACAAGCTCAAAGTGATAAGCTCCTAAAACAACGTAGCACAGTAAGAAGCTGATTTAACTCCAAAGAAGTCTGACATCCAGAGATGCATCCAAGCATTCAATGAAACCACAAGACCTCCACCAAAACAAGCTGTATGGCCTAATACTACTGGAGCGGGCTGCAACTGCACCACCACCTTGGTAGGATCAAGTGATAAAAGGTGACCTCTGCAGTCACAGCCTTTGCACACCACAAATATAACAACTTCCCAAATATGACCAGGAAAAAACCCTGTTACGTCTAATTATTTTATGCATCAATTAAATACAAATCAGATTTAAAAACAAATCTGTTACATCTTAAGATTCACATATTAACCAAAGGCAATGTGAAATTAAGCTTTTATATAGTGTATCTACACCAAATATGTAAAACTGGTGAAATGTAAAGTAGTCTAGAGCGCAGTTATCCCAGCTTTGTTCTCTTCTATTATTTATGAGCTCACATTCAATATCCACATACAAGTATGCACAAATATTGTCTATATGAAAATTTAATTCTTGTGACCCATTTGTCTAGTAAAAAATTCACAGTAATTAGGAGACCCATAAAGCTGACACTTGAATTTGTAAGCAAACTTTCTAATGAAGTTGACAAACATTTCTTGCATTATATTTCAAGACTATAAGAACACTGATAATGAAACAGTAGAAAGAGTGTGGCCAGTAGGTCAAGGGAGGTCATTCTCCCTCTCTACTCTGCAGTGGTGAGGCCACAACTGGAATACTGCATCCAGTTCTGGGCTCCCCAGTTCAAGAGGGATAGGGAACTACTTGAGAGAGTCCAGTGTAGGGCAACTAAGATGATTAAGGGATTGGAGCACCTCCCTTACGAGGAAAAGCTCAAGGAGCTGGGGCTCTTTAGCCTGGACAAGCAAAGACTGAGGGGAGACCTTATTTATGTTTATAGGTATCTAAAGGGTGAGTTGAAGGATGATGGAGCCGGACTCTTTTCAGTGGTTTCCAGCGATAGGACAAGGGGCAACGGGCTCAAGCTGGAACATAGAAAGTTCCATTAAAATATAAGAAAACACTTCTTTGCAGTGAAAGAGACAGAGCACTGGATCAGGCTGCCCAGGGAGGTTGTGGAGTCCTTTTCTTTGGAGATTTTCAAGACCTGCCTGGATGCAGTCCTGAGTGATGTGCTCTAGGCATTCCTGCTTTAGCAGGGGAGTTGGACCAGATGATCTCTAGAGGTCCCTTCCCACTCTGACAATTCCATGATTCCATGAAACACTCTCCTTATCTGTGCCATTCAAAATTTTGCTGACTTTCTTACAAAATAAAATGCTTTCTCAACAAGACATTCACAAAGGAGTAAGAGATCCATTATTAAAAACAACTACTGAAAACCAAAGAAGTCATAAAAATCTCAAGATAATTAAGTTTTGCAGATGGCTATCCCATATACACTAAAGATTGCTATTTGAAGACTGGTACAGTTGATTTTATAAGCCACGTTAGTTTCATTTGTGCACAGCTTCCCATTTTCATTTTGGTAGGATACTATTATCAAAAAGCTATACTGCTGAGTTACTGCTGCTGTGCGATTACTTCTGACAAATATATAGGTATATTTAAAAACTTTGCTATGGAGTTACAAAACCAATGCATCCTACAAATAGAACTCAACATATGGTAGTTAGCAGAAAGGGTAAAATACACAGCCACAAGTGTGGCTCACCAACATATTTAAGTACAGTTGACTACTCTCCACTAATGAACACGACTACTTTAAGTTTTTTTCCCAGCTACATGAAACTTCACTAGTTCCATCCATTTCCAGGCTTCAATCAGACCACGTCTCTTCACATCTTATTGCAAGACTTGATAGCTAGAGAACTAAGATGCAAGTTTTTCCTGTTTCTTCCCTACCTCCTTCCAATATCAATTCAAAGATCATGAGAAAGGAAAATGATGGTTTCTCAAACAAGCACACAGGCCTAGAAGTGACTCAAAGCCAAGTCAATACAAGCTCGTCCTCAATAAAGCTACAAACCATCCTTTCCATGGAGCCCAGAGGCTTTCCAAACATCATCCTGCTTGACCTGAACAGGAGATGATACAAGCAGAACCAAATTTCCACTTAAAGTATATAAAGGTTAAGCTAACAGTAATTTTCAGTGAGTTATAGGTGTTTCTCAACACTTTTTGAAGTGTATGAGATTTGAGACTGCTCAAAATACTGCAAGACTACAAACAAAATAAAAAAAAAATCTCTTGGTCTTCATTTACCATTACTGCGGTGCTAGATGGAAAGTTATAAGCCTTTCAAAGATTACAGTGTAACACCTTATGATGCAAAAACTATATTGAATTATGAACAGCACATTGTGATTCTCCTGTATCTTTCATTTTTGTGACTAACAGGATGCCAGAACAATCACGGGAAGGGAGGAGGGCACAGGAAGGAAAGGGAAAACAGTGTATTTAGACTTTGATGTCCGAGCTGGTCAACCTGAGAAACAAAATGACCAACCGGACAAGCCTATTTCTCTTTTCAGACAGGACTACTTCTGTTTCTAGACTACAAGAACCACTTACAGACTTGTTCTATAACTGCCCGATGTCCTAGTTAAGGCAAGAAGCGTGCACTCCTTCATTCTTGCTTCATTAAAAAAACCTACTAAACAAAAAAAACACAACTTTTTTTTTTTGAAGGAACACTGTATTTCTACAGAGCATATATTTCAAGGAATCGTCATAACTTGGCATATGACAAGGTTTTTCTATAACAAGAAGTCACATCCCATTTTACAGCATAGACAACAACAGTATGTTATATCCACTGATTATTTAAAATAAGTTAGAAGCTATGAAAAGAAATGTAAGGGGTATTTTTATTTTTTTAAAAAAACTTGTCATGGAAGTCAAGATCTGTGACAAATATACAGTCATAAGGAGCAGAACCATATAGTTTTATCTGGTAGATATTTTCCTATTTAACTTTTAAATTAATGGAAATTCCTACATCGGCTGTTCTTGTTCTTAGCTACTCTTACTACTAGAAAATATTTCCTAATACTCTATAGGAAGGGAGACTGAGTAACTTAAATTCTTTGCTTCTAGTTCAGTGTTTATTCGTAACCTACCTTCAATTTCTCCAGACTACATAAATTCAGTTCCTCTGCAATCGCCTCACAGATGATGTTTTCTTAATCACAAATATGATCAGAGGTCTTTCCTCTAGCATGTATCTGCTTCACATTTCCTCCTGTCCCTCTGACAATGCTGCATTAGAAAGGCTAGCCTTTGTGAATGCTGGTGGTTCCTACAAGTGGTTTTTTGATGATGCTTGCAAACTTAAGAGACAAGTAGAAGACAAGATTGAAATGCAAAGATCTACCATGGAAACCATTAACACAGAAGAACAGCAGCATGGCCCAATTCAGCATTAAGACTTAGTGAAAGTAAGGCTTCACCAGATGGCTTCTGGGCCTTTGGCTTAAAATCCATTAAAGACCAGCTCAGTGTACACAGTCACAGAACTGCATTGCCTTTCAAAACAGAAATGAAATTTGGAAGTGATGAGTTTCAATTCTATGCCACAGGTATATATACAGATACGTACATGTGTATTTACACATCTACACTGCTGGATCTGCAGTCCAGGAACTATTGCAGACCCTTATGTTCTAACATGAGAGTTACAAATCCCATAATTAACTACTGAAAATATAAATCATTCATAAAAATAAAAACTCTGAGGAAAAAAAACAAAGTCTTTATGATCACGACATTTTAATAGTATTCTGCTGTGCCCTAATGTTAGTCTTAAATGCTTAATGTTGTATCAACTGAAAATCAACTGAAAATTCAAGTGCATACTTAAAGTACTTGGGAACAGTTTGTCAATAATTTTCAACAGCAATTGAAATTACTTTTGTATTTGCCACAAGTTCTGCTGCATTTTTTGTCTCTGTCTACATTTCTAATATTAAAAAGTGCTATTTTCATACACTAATCGCATTAGAAAACATTTACCTTTGGATGTGATGATTTCCCAGGCTTCATCTCTGCCTGAAAGACAATTCCATTTATGAACTTTGAGTAAAATTACTTTTGAATTACACATATAATTACTGTTTGTCTTCAGTTATTTGAAAGAAAATTAAGAAGTGCTATCAGCCAATACCCCTAAAAGTTACATCTGCTTTACTGACAAAACGGTGCATATCACATTCATGCTCCTATCAAGCTCAGCTTGTTTGAAATATCTGATAACCCTGAAAACAACATGCTACAATGAAGTTCAATAACCACATCAAAATGTCCTGGACTATACATACAACACACAGTAAAAAACATATGCAGTGCATAATCCTTCAGATTTCACTGTTTCAAAACAAACAAAATGAGGTATTTCTTAAGAACACAGAGAAATATCTGAAGACACCTGTTTCTTTCTACTGCAATACTTCCCCCTACACTCCACCTCCTCTAGACACAGACAAGATTTACATAAGCTTGATATTTACTCATATTCATTCAGAAGACTTCTGCAAATAGAAATATTAATTCCTCAAGTACAAGCAAATAGTTTCAGAGGGGGAACTAATTTGGAAGAAAACCTTTAAGTTTAGTAAGGACAGGAGAAACACACTTTCTTAGCACTAAAATCTTACAGTGACTCTCATTAAAAATAGCAAAGTAGCTACTCCTAACCATGAAAAAAAGCAGAGTAAGAACAACTTAGTGTCAGACATTTAAGGCCTCTATCTTTTAAAATCAGCGAGCCACCTGTCCTAATTTTTTCCAAGAGCAAACTTCCACAGCTCTGCATCAAATGGTATATTTTCATAACTGAAACTGTTTTCCCCTTAGCTTTTATTATACTTCCCCTCCCAAATGACAAATCATAATGAGCCTTACAAGCATGTCTTGAATTATGATGGCACTGTGTAAAAAAAAACCAACAAAACAAACAACAAAACAAAACAAGAACAAGCCAAGGACTGTTATCACATTAGAGCCCTAGCTTTCTACTGAGCACAAGCTCCTAAAACATATTACTGTCCAAGCACATCAAATTATTTCCACTTTTAACCTAAAATAAACACCCTGCTCAGCCTTTTCGATATTCACTTGGCACGCTGAACCACGTTAAAAGTTACCATCATCTGCCCCATCTTCCACAAGCATCCCCACTTGCAGAAATCGCTCCATGGGGCTGCAGAGACACACCAAACACCGGAGCAAGATCTGGCTGCAGAGATGCAAAAGCTCCCCCGGGGCTCGGCAAGAAAGCACCCCGAGGAACTTCTCACAGCGCTGCCAAGGCAGCAGTCCCTCGGCAGCAACATCCCGACAGGCCGCCACAGGAGCCACACAAGGCCCACGGGATCAGGCCCACGCCCGGCACCCGCTCCCGCCCAGGGGAGGGCAGCGTTTACTCACACCGGGACCCCAAACGCCAGATAAACGAGGTTTGTCGGCCGACACCCCCCCCACCAGCTTCCGCCCCCGCAGACACGACCCGGCTCCCGCCCACCCCGGCCTTGAAGGGACGGCACCATCCCGCTACCGGCCCCAACCACCCCCCCATCCCCACGGGGCCAGACGAGGTGAGGCGAGACCCACCCGCCGCATCCTCCCGCCCGGCCGCCGCCGCCGGCAGCGCCTCAGGCCAGCGCAGCCCCCAGCGCGGAACTTCAACCACCGCTCCTTCCCACAGCGGAAATCACTCCCGACGCCGCTTCCGCTTCCGGGTCAGGAGCCGCCCGCGGCAGTGAGTGCGCAGGCGCGGCCGCTGTGATTACTGCCTCCCCGTCCTCCCCACTTTTAGGTTCTACGTAAGTCGTCTCTGGGGGTGTCCGTTCCTCCCCCGTCTCCCGAGAGCGGCAGTTGGCCTCGGAGGACCGCGCAGGGTGGGCCTGGAGGGTCTCCTCAGTTTTTGGAGGAGCCCAGGGGCGGGCGGTGTCAGGGCGAGCTGTGCTCCCGGGTGGGGGGGGTGAGGGTTAAGGGGGGAAAATGGGTCTCCGAGCCGTGAAACTCCCGCCTGCGACAGCGGGAGGGGTGCCCTCCTCCTGTCTTGTCATCCTCTTGTCGAGCTGATGCCACTGTGGCAGCCTGCCTGCTGATTTCCCCCCCTAAGGCCGATGGTGCCAGCTGATGACCCTTAAGTAACAGTAGCACTTACATCCTCATTAGAACAATGAGCAACATCAGTATATCCTACCTTCTTCAAGACAGAATAACGTGCTGACGTTTTCTTTCTCTACAAATATATTCTTTTTTTTTTTTTTTTTCTTAGTGAGAAACAAATTCTGATGGCTTCTGCGCCAGCTTCGCAGCCTTCTCCAAAAAAAACAGTGGCTTCCCATGTGCCTTTTGCGGATTTGTGTTCTACTCTGGAGCGAATACAGAAGTGTAAGACTCGTCCGGAGAAAACCAAGTATTTCAAAGAGTTCCTGGATTCCTGGAGAAAATTCCATGATGCTCTTCATAAAAAAGAGAAAGACGTCACAGATTCTTTTTATCCAGCTATGCGACTCATTCTTCCACAGTTGGAAAGAGAAAGGATGGCATATGGAATTAAAGAAACTATGCTTGCAAAGCTGTATATTGAGCTGCTTAATTTGCCAAAAGATGGAAAAGATGCTGCAAAGCTTTTAAATTACAGAACACCTGCTGGCTCACGTGGAGATGCTGGAGATTTTGCAATGATCGCGTACTTTGTGTTAAAACCTAGGAGCCCAAAACAAGGCAGACTGACAATAGAACAAGTCAATGAACATTTAGATGCGATAGCTAGTAATAATGCTGCGAGAAACAAAGGTATGTTAAAGAAAAGTCTTCTTCAGTTAATTACCCAGAGCACAGCACTGGAACAAAAATGGCTCATCCGGATGATTATAAAAGACCTAAAGCTTGGTGTTAGTCAACAAACTATATTTTCAATTTTTCATCCTGACGCTGCTGAATTACACAATGTCACAATGGATTTAGAAAAAGTTTGCAGACAACTGCACGATCCCTCTGTCTCCCTTAGTGATGTGTCTATCACCTTGTTTTCTGCTTTTAAACCAATGCTTGCTGCTATTGCTGATGTCCAGCAAATCGAGAAACAAATGAATAACCAGGTGTTCTACATAGAAACTAAGCTGGACGGCGAACGCATGCAGATGCACAAAGATGGAGATGTGTATAAATATTTTTCCCGCAATGGCTTTGACTATACTCAGCAGTTTGGTGCTTCCCCCCTTGAGGGTTCATTAACGCCGTTTATTCATAATGTATTTAAGAGCAATATACAAAATTGCATTCTCGATGGGGAAATGATGGCTTACAATCCTGAGACGCAAACCTTTATGCAAAAAGGAAACAGATTTGACATAAAAAGAATGGTGGAGGACTCTGATCTGCAGACCTGCTTCTGCGTGTTCGATGTATTGATGGTTAATGATCAGAAGTTGGGTCATGAAGTACTAAGCAAAAGATATGAAATCTTAAGTAGCGTATTTACCCCAGTAATGGGCAGGATCCATGTTGTACAGAAAAAAAGTGCCAGAACAAGAAAAGAAGTAATTGATGCTTTAAACGAAGCAATAGATAACAGAGAAGAAGGGATTATGGTGAAAGATCCCATGTCCACCTACAAGCCTGACAAACGTGGGGAAGGCTGGTTAAAAATCAAGCCAGAATACGTCAACGGGCTGATGGATGAACTGGACCTTTTAATTGTTGGTGGTTACTGGGGGAAGGGCTCACGTGGTGGAATGATGTCTCATTTTCTGTGCGCTATTGCGGAGACGCCCCCTCCCAATGAAAAACCTACTGTTTTCCACTCTATTTGTCGCATTGGCTCTGGCTATACTATGAAGGAATTGTATGATCTAGGTTTGAAACTGGCTAAACACTGGAAGCCCTACCATAGGAAGGACCCTCCCGGTAACATTTTGTGTGGAACTGAAAAACCGGAAATGTACATTGAACCTTGCAACTCTGTCATAGTCCAGGTCAAGGCAGCTGAGATTGTTAACAGTGATATGTACAAAACCGACTGTACTTTGAGATTCCCCCGAATTGAGAAGATAAGAGAGGACAAAGAGTGGTATGAGTGCATGACTTCAGACATGTTAGAAGATCTCAGAAGCAAAGCAGAAGGGAAGCTGGCATCTAAGCACCTTCATGTAGATGAGCATGATGAGCCACAAGAGAAAAAAAGGAAAACTGTATTGAAGGTGAAGAGGGTAATTGGAATAGCTGAGCAATTTAAAGCTCCTGATCTTTCTAGTGTAAGCAAGGTTTCAAACATATTTGAAGATGTTGAGTTTTGTGTTATGACAGGAACAGGAAAATTCTCAAAGTCTGACCTGGAAAGCAGAATAGCTGAATGTGGTGGCAGTGTGGTACAGAACCCGGGTCCAGAGACTTACTGTGTCATTGTAGGAGCTGAGAATGTCAGAGTGAAAAACATCATCGCTTCCAACAGATATGATGTGGTGAGGGCAGAGTGGCTCCTTCAGTGTTTTCAAACCAAAATGCTGGTGCCTTGGCAACCAGCCTGTATGATTCACATGTCTCCTGAAACAAAAGAACATTTTGCTCGTCACTATGATTGTTATGGAGACAGCTACACAGCAGACACGGATGTTGCACAACTCAAGGAAGTGTTCTCAAGAATGAAGGAAAAGAAGGCGATACCTTTGGACACGATTGCAGAGTTAGAAGAACGTTATTTATGGAACAGCTGTCCGCTCAGTATATTCAGAGGAAACACTATTTATGTGGACTGTTACGCTGTTCTTAATGAGCCTAGAACCAAAATCCCTGGAACAACACTTTCCATTAGAGCTTTGGAGCTCCGTTTTTATGGTGCAAAAGTAGTCTCTCACCTTGAAGAGGGTGTCTCCCATGTTGTTATAGGAGACGATCATTCCCGGGTAAAAGAGATTAAAACACTCAGGAGAACATTTGGGAAAAAATTTATAATAGTATCTGAGCTGTGGGTAACACAGTCAGTGGAGGAAGGAGTCCCAAAGAATGAAAATCAGTACTTAATTTAAAGTAGTTTTTAAGCTTGGCGCAAAAGCATTCTTGTTGGCATGGTTGGACTTGGATATATGATTATTTTATGTGTTTAAAGCTGGCTCTGGCTAAAGAATAACACTATTGTTGAAATTAGAAGGCGGCTTTTAATTATACTGTTGCAGAAGCAAGAGAATGCTAAGCCATGTTGAAGGAGGAAAAGAAACACCATAAGTTAAATAATGTAAGCTTTTTACTTCAGAAATGGGTCTCAGGAGAGATCTGATATTTTACATAAGAGAATTCCTAGCTATGAATAGTGCTTGCCTCCATTTTTCAAAATGGAGAAAACAATTTAATATTTTATGGGGATTCTACTATTTATCATATTGTTTATTTATCAATTCACAATCACATAGATGTTTTGTGTATATTCCATATGCTACAGGATTCTTTAATTTATAAACCTTGTCTCTATTATTTTAATTTGTTTACATTGTTTTTATCAGAGCCCCACGTAGCCTCAGTAGCACTTTGGTTTTAGGATATTGCATTGATCACATGTTTTTTTGTATTAATAACTATTGCAAAATAGAACCTAAGCTTCTGATTGAGGTGCTAATAAATTAATAATGACTTATATATCTGTAAAATGCAAATCAATTACTTAAAAAGTGTAATGATCTGTGCTCATTACAGATAAGGTTAAAGTGTGAAGTGTGACAGAGCTAGGATTTTACACTTAACTATTAGTTTTATCTTTTAAAAATATTTCATAAGCCCTTTCAGTAAGGGAAGATCAATTTCTAAATAGCTAGTTCAAAGTATATTTTTTCAATTACTAAATAAATATATTTTTAAAGTCTGCCTGGTATGTTTTTTTTAGTGAGAGCGATAACTTTTCTGGAAAAACAAGAAATGTATTTTCTGATTTCAATGGGTGAAGATTTTTTTTTTTAGCTTATTTACATTTTGTGTAAAGCTGATTTTTATTTTTTATAAGTAGGCACTTGGCTTGAGAGCAGGCCTTCCAAAAACTTAATAATACAATTTGCATTGTATTATTAAGTTTTAAGTTCATGTTCAGATGACGTTCCTGAAGAATTGGAGAAGAGAAAAAGGGGCTGTAGACCTTGCAGTTTGGGGGAAGCAGAGAAAAGGTTGGTATCATTCCTATTCACTGGCTTTTAACTGGCACTTTTTAAAAGTGCTGCTGGTGATGGAGAAAGAAGAGTGCAACTTTCAGGACCTGCTGTAGCAGAACATCTGGTAGATACCCATCCTGTCTGCAATGGTGTGTTGATGAATGATGCTCTGATTTCTTGGGTAGTTACACAGGCAATTCTGCACAGGCAATAAACTTCACAATCCCTGGGGGAATCTTCCACTGTTCACATTGTTTATTAAACAATTTAATAAAATAGGTTCACATCTAACTTTTTTCTACTCTGAAAGGCATATACTCAAACTGATGGGGTGCAATTTTGGAATAATAAGCCTGTGGGCAACTTGCACAAAGTATGACAAATCTTGCCAGGGAGTGATATTTTTTATTTCTTCATATGATTTCTCTGACTTCATATGATTTCTCTGACTTTCACTGGCTTGTGAGTGAAAATAGCGTGTGTTGACTGTACAAAGCTGGTGAAATCTCAGATGTTCTCCTACATTAGAATATACACCTCAGTTTCACATCT